AACTTTGAGGGGTAGACAATGTTTCCACATGAAAAAAAAATGGGAGAAAAAGCTTTCTAAGCAGAGAGAACAGTTAAAAAGAAAAGAGGGCTGGAAATGGAGTGCACAGGGCCTGTTTGAATTACTCAAAGCTGGTTCTGCTAGGTAGAGGGCCGCTGTCTGAACCTCCCTGCCCACCCACCCAATCAGAAAAATGTTAGTTTACACCACCATATGTGGCTATTTTTCACTTATACATTTTAAACATAGTGGACTGGTTTCTTAAGGCTTCCATCACAGACTACCAGGAACTGGGTGGCTTAAACCAATAAAAATGTATTCTCTCACAGTTCTAGAAGCTAGAAGTCCAAAATCAAGGTGTGGGTGCAGGGCCACATTGCTTCAGAGGCCCTGGCAAGAATTCTTCCTTGTCTCTTCCAGCCCCTTGTTGCCCCAGTTGCTCCTTGGATTGTGGCTGCACGACTCCAATCTCTGCCTTCATCTTCACAGGGTCTTCTTTTGGTCTCCGTGTCTCCTCGCATCTTCTGATCAGGACACCAGTCATTGTATTTATAATCCACTCTAATCCAATATGACCTTGTCTTAATCAATCTTCAATGGCCCAATTTCTAGATAAGGTCCCTTTCTGAGCTTCTGAGTAGACATGAATTCTGGGGAGATACTAGTCAACTAATTGCATATGCTTTGGATACAATTTACACTATATAATAAATGTACACTAAAGATAGAATTGAAAACAGAGTATGTTAAAGACGGAACAACATCATTAAAAGTTTTCATTTCAATGTACATTTTAATCATAAAAAGTTTTCTTTTGAAAGGGTAATACAGTTAAATATGTTAGACCTGAGCAGATTATTATTATTTTTACTGGTTAAGATGACTGGTGTTCATCGCTCCAGGTATAGACAGATGTGTGAGCTTGGCCATTTCTTGGCTTTTGAACCTGTGAGAATTGTTAGTGCTATCTTGTTCATATTGTGAGAGTTAGTATACAGATAGATTTTTAAAAAGATAGATAATATAATCCAAAATTTTGCATGGACCAACACACATCAGCAGCCATAAGGAGCCCTAGGTGATGTGCCCAAATAAGCAGAGGTGTCACCATCAACCCACCATGTTGGAACTTCCAGTGACAGGCATGCTGTCATCTAAAATGTGAGCCCAGTGAGAGGGCCAGTGCCAACCCATGGAGTAAATATGACAGCTCTTCATTTCCTTGTTTTCTTCAGGTAAATGGATGAGTGGAAATCCAATGTTCTCCTCTCCTCTCCTCCCCACCCCCATGGTGATCTTGGTGCAGCCCTGCTGTGCATATTCTCACCCTCCAGGGGAACAGAGGATGCCTGGGCTGTGGAGGGTGTCCAATTTATGGTGAAAAGGGTTCTTAGCAAATGTTGATTCCAACCAGGATGCTCCTCTGCTTTGCCCTTAAAGCTCTTGTATGTAAATGGGTATAATAACAGTCTTTTCCTCATATAGTCATTGTGAAAATGCAATATTTTAAGTCTTTGGGCCATTTCCTTGCACAGGAAGGGCCCATTATTAGTTGAGATTCCTATCCCTGACTTCCTGCTGCACCAAGCACTCCTGCCATCAGGAGCACCTGCAGACAGAGTCAGGCTGAGAAAGGCACTTGGAGTCAGAGACATGGAAGAAATGGGAGAAGGCAGAGGGGCTGGAAGCTGTCTAGTTGGAAAGACAAAGAGAGGCCCAGGAGCAGACCCTGGGGAATGCCCTGCTGGGAGGCCAGTGGTGCGAGGGGATCTCATGAGGCCACAGCACAGGGAGGAGGGAAGATTGAGAGCTCGGGCCTCACAGCCAAGAAACAGAATTAAAAGATGGAAGAGAAGACTTCACTGCAAAAGAATTTTTTTGTTTGTTTCACAGAAGCCTCCTTTTCAGGATTCCTTTTATCAGTTTAAAGTAATGTTCACACACAATACTTGTCTGTACTAATATTGATTTTCCTGTAGCCTGGAATACTCCCTTTGTCTCCTGCCTTCAAAGTCACTTGTAGAAGTAAACACTTGCATTTCTAACACAGTGAATCATTATAACACTACCCTCACCTCGTTTTTACTGAAGAGTGTTCTGGCATAGGGGCCACCATGACACTCCTCAGTTAAGAGTGATGGAACATAGGCAGTCATGACTGAGGAGTAACTGTACACAGAACACTAATTAGTTAACTAATCGTTAGCAAATAGTCTATCAGATAAGATGGTGGAAATCTTCACTCTGTGCTTTTCTGGTATACAGGTGTTCCTCTTGAGAGCCAACTCTTCTTTTCCCTCAACCCACGTGCTTTCAGTAAAGCAGACATTTTCCCCAAGTTTAAAATAAACTGCACATGGCCCAAGAGCTGACCACCATGGGGCCCCCACCCACTAGCTTCCCTCAACCCACGTGCTTTCAGTAAAGCAGACATTTTAATAAAGTTTAATAAACTGCACATGGCCCAGGAGCTAACCACCATGGGGCCCCCACCCACTAGCCAGACCTCCAGGTGTGCAGAGGAATCTGAGGAACTCAAGTCCTACCTCTTAAAAGTGGGCTGTGTGCATTCTGGATTTTCCTACACATTTGGGGCAAAAAAGCCAAATCCAAGTTAGCTAGAGCCAACATACAGAAGCAAAGGCTATTGCATACCCTGTTCTTCTAAAAAAAAAAGTCCTCTCCCTAATGCTCACAGTTGTTCCCTCCCCACCCATCCTCTGGAGGTGGCCATGGTAGTCTTAGGTTTGTTCTCTGGAATGAAGCCAGGAGGAATATGTATTTGTCCTTCGTCACTTGAGTCTCAAATGATTTTCCTCATACAATCTGTCCAGAACGTTTTTTAAACCCTTCTGTGTAAAACCAACTACACTCTGTGTCCTAGGAACAAAGATACTGTCTTTCCCCCAATTATAGCAACTAAGAAGTTCCACACAATAACTAAATTATCATGGATTCTTTACCAGATTGTCTAGACTGAGTCTGGTGTTAGGGGAGACTGAATCTTGTGATACCATTCAGCATCAGGGTATGTTGGATCCCTAGAAATCAGAGAGTGTTAAAACTAAAGTATCTTTAATCTTAAGGTCCCCAATAATGAGAAGTACAATGATAATAGATAAAAATAATTGGGGGTTTAAAGAAATAGGGTCTTGAATTGCGAAGTAAGACAAATAATTATTTTGGAGTATACTTTTATGCTCTGAGTACATTTTCCCACTAGTAATTCATATTACTTTCTGCTTCATAATCTCTACTTTCTCATTAAAAACCAGGTTTATGTGGTTAATGTGTATGTCTCTTGTATTAGATATTCTTATACTGAAAAGAGAATGAGACTTGCAAATGAAGTCATTCCTTATACCAGTCATTTAAGATGAAGCAGAGCTCTGAGGCAGGAAGCTACAAATGAGAAAGGAAGTACATCTCTCCCCCCATTTTCATTGTGGAATGAAAGATCAGAATATTTAAGAGCACAAAGTGTGAATATTAAAAATGGAACCCCTTGGAAATAAGCTGAGAGCCCATCTCCCTGGAATCTCATAGAGAATTAGAGGCCTGCAGACTCAGACAGGAAGCTCCAAAGTTCAACTCCATGTTGGTGCACGGTTTCTATTTCATGTCCATGTGCCTCTCGCTCACTTCCCACTTTATACCTTTTAAGGTTCTGAGAGGTGGTTTTGTGCTTTAAAAGAAATCAAGGGATAGTTTTGTAGGTCCAGATCATAATAAAAATAAGACTATAAAAATGGACAGTAATATCTTTCCTCCCCCAAGGTTGGTCCTTATGAGTGGAAGCCCTCACCAGGAAAAGAGAGACCAAGAAAACTCAGGAAGACAGAATTGGTTCACTTGTTCAATCATTCCTCAAAGGCTGAATTCTTCTAGGGGGAATCTTGACAGCCCTAGATTTTATTTAAGAAAAGTGGCATCTGTATATATGTGCCACTTAGATTATATGTGTGTATATACATAGAGTATGTGTTTGAGTGTATATGCACGTAAACAATCTACCTACTTGTTTATTGGCTTTACACACATTTATCTAGAGATAAGACCTATAAAACTTGCATAAGCACACTGTTATTAAGTTGACAAAAGACACACAATAACAAGTATTGATTTTTCTTCTTGCCTATTAATCAGTCTGCTCTCTCAACTCTTATGCTTTGCTTTTATTTTGTCTGACCACTTAAAAATAAGTCATTCTAAACAGTTTGCACTCTTTAAATCGATATTGATAGAATGTTAAAAACTAAAAACATAAATTCACAAAATTAGAGAAGTACAAGATTTGTTTCCCTTATGGAAATATGGATCTGTGAGAGCATTAAAAGGCATAGCCTAGTTGCTAATTTATGTGTTTTATAGCCATCCACATAGCTATGCTCAACCTCTTGAAATTACATGCTGTTTGAAGTGCTCCATGCTTGTCAGAGAACTTGACCAGTTCTGTTCTTAATTAAAAGAACTGTCTTCTTCAACTTATGCTGCTGTAACTATGGAAGGCCAATTTCATTTTTAGCAGATCTCAATTCATCCTCAGAACTTCCTTGTTTATTCCACCACAAGCAAAAATCTGAAGTAGCTTTGGTCATTTTATGTATAGTCCAGTTATAATATTTTTCTTGATGTCATGTGACTTTGAACATTTACTGGAGGACGAAAATGGGGCATTCAAAACTTTTATTGTCTTACATGGCAGGTGGTAGTGGACTGTCAGTTGGTAACGAATGGAAATTAATTTCCATTGCATCTTGAGATGCTTTGCAGCTGTATAATAGCACGTATTAATTTGGAGATAGTGACAACTATTGAGAGAAAATTCGCATTTTATAGGAAGAAAATTAACATTTTTGAACAGAATTTCCCATTGCATGTGATACGTTGCAGCTTGAGAAGTCTAGTAACTTAAAGTATTGAATCTAGTGAGGGTCATAGTCAATTACCTTAACTGAACTGCTGAGCCAAGAGTGTTCTAGAGTCCAGGTAATTCTATTAGAAAGAGCGGGAGTCTGAGGGGGAGGAGAAATAGAAAGAAAAGGAGGAGAGACAGAGAAGAAGACACTGAGTGGGAAATTCAGTGGGAAAGGTTCCTGCCATACAGAATATTTTATGCACTTAATTGCATCTTGAGTGAGATGAAGCATGTGTCCTCGCTTAAAATTTTATACTAGAACATGGCCATGGACCACCAGTCCTCTTTAGAGGTGAAGTAAGTCACCACACTGAGAAAACTCTGATTGTGTTTGACAACTGAGCCATTTGCAGAGAAGCCCCTAAAGTGAGGGCCTCCGTCTACCCTCAGCTGCCCTGGCCAGAAGCTTGCTACAGGGCAACTCCAGGGTGGTTCTTGCTGGCTTTGAAGCTTAGCACATGCTTGCCCACATTTTTGGAATTCAAACACTAGTTACGGGACTCTTGACAGCCCTAGATTTTATTTTACTAAGGAAGAGTGGCCAGTCTTTTACTTTGTAAATGATCTCTTCCAACCACTTCTTAGTACACGGGACAGGCAGACATGAAATACCCCTGGAATATAGGAAAGCCTTTTCAGTTGCATGAAAAAGGGCCTTATGGAAAAAGCAAAGTTGGTTTCGGGCAGATGTTTGGAAACCACTGGCTTAGAAGCCACAATTGGGCAGAAATCACTTCTCTGAACCCAGTGAGTAATGTAGAGTTATCTTTTTAAAAAATATATATTTCTTTATTGATTCAGAGAGGAAGGGAAAAGGAAAGAGAAATAGAAACATCAATGATGAGAGAGAATCATTGATCGGCTGCCTCCTGCACACCCCCTACTGGGGATCGAGCCCGCAACCCAGGCATGTGCCCTGGGCCGGAATCGAACCTGGGACCCCTCAGTCCGCAGGCTGTCGCTCTATCCTCTGAGCCAAGCTGGCTAGGGCTAGAGTTATCTTAAGATATCCATATATGTCCCGTAAATGTGAAAAAGAAATCCTGGCTTTTTATCTTGTTTACTTTGCCTATATATGCTATTTGAATGCATTTGCTGAATGAATGACTAGAATTAAAATTTTTCTTTTGATTGTTTCCATGCATTTCAAAGCAGTAGTAAATTCTAAAGTTGTAATTATTTCTAAAAAATGTCCATATAATTAGCTCACTCTGCAGAATTAACAGTAATAATGTTTGTGGTAACCAGTGTCCTGTAACCTCAGTTTCTAGGTGTTCCCACCTTTGTGTGCACCCACCCCAGTGAATAGGGCTGGCCTCTGTGACCAGCAGGAGACTGTTGAACTGATTGTGTGACTGCGGTAGGTAGGGAAGCCAGTTCAACATCCTCAGGCACTCCGGAAGCCCCATGGAGAGGCCCATAGGGTGAGGGACCAACCTGCCCACCCACCTTCCGAGCAAGTCCCCCAGTGCCAGTCAGGGCTTTGGGTCTTCCAGCTTTGATTGCAGACCTTGTGGAGCAGAGATAAACCACCCGTGCTGGTCCCTGTCTTGAATTCCTGCACAAAGGAACCATGAGATCATAAATGATGATGACTGTCTTCAGCTATTGAGCTGTGAGATGATTTGTTAGACCTAATCTGCCTGGTCATCTCACCAAGCTATCATCTTTCCTCCCAATATCTCCTGGGAAATTCCTTTTTTTACTTTTCTTACTTAAAAGAAAAAAGCCAAAAAGTTCAAACAATCTACACATCCATCGATGGACAAATGGATAAACAAAATGTGGTCTGGACACACAATGGTGTTGTCATTAATACTTTGTCTTCCGTTACTCAGCCTGAAAAAGGAAGGGCATTCTGACACATGCTACAACGTGGATGAACCTTGAAGACGTTATGCTGAGTGAAATAAGCCAGTCACAAGCAAGGACAAATACTGTATGACTTCACATATAGGCAGTTCTCCGAGTCATCAAAAGCAGAGAGGCAGAAATTAGAATACTGGTTACCAGGGGATCGGAGGAGGGGGAGTGAGGAGCGGGGAGTTAGTGTTTAATGGAGTTTCAGTATAGGCAGATGAAAAAATTCTGGACAGCAATGCTAATGGACCTAATACCAGTGAACTGTGCACATAAAAATGGTTAAAATAGTAAATTTTATGTTACGCATATGTTGCTACAATAAAAACAAAAAGCAAAGAAAGGAGAAACTAAAAGAGCCAGCCAAAGGCTGCTCAGGCCCTACTCTTACAGACAGAAGCCAAGGTCAGATGGAGGAGCAGTGGATGAGGGTCCCTGGGATGAAGAATGAACAGAAGTGGGACATGGATCCTGAGCGTTACCCTTTGCAAAGCAGTGCTTTCTGCTACTTTGTGGGCAGCTCCAAGGCCCATTTTTCAAGGAGAACCTGCATGTCCTAGCCCATATATTATTTGCCAATTATATCACCTAAGTAAGTCCTGTAATCTCTTGCCTACATTTTCTTATGATTACATAAAAATAATAATATATATTACAATAATATATAACCTAATATATTAGCGATTAGACTCGGTTAAAATAATGAATGTGAGATTGCTTTTTAAAATTGATGGCACAATATTATTCTATAGAATAAAAATATTTATTAACATTGTTTGAGAAATGGTGCCTTATGGTGATCAGTTTTAAATATATTCATTCATTTATTTAGCAAATATTTATTGAGTACCCAGAGCCACCAGGCACTGTTCTGGACACTAGAAATTTTTAGATAGGAGAGATGAGATAGGAACATTAACTAGGAAATAATCTCATCTAAAAATCATATAAACTTTAAAATAAATCAAATTTAAAGTGAAACTATCCACTACAGTTTTATTAAAAATTGCTCTTAGTAACTGATTATACCAGCTACCCCATAATTCTGCTGTAATAACCTCAGAGGCGCCTGCTGTGCTTTTGGCTTTCGGAGCCAACGTTCTATTCCATGACGTGCACGGAGTGTTTCCCCCTCACACTGAAGATGGAGGCAGCAACTCCTCCCTCCAAGACCCCAAATCACAACGCCTTCAACCAACAGGAAGGTAGCAGACAGGATAAAACACACCCCATCTTTCCCAGGAGCCAACAGAACTCCTATCCCTGTCTCTTTGTGACCAAGATGTCTGCTATATTTCCAGCCAGGTTATTTTATATTTGAAAAGAACTCATTAAGATAAGCGGCAATTAGCATCTATACTGCAGTAAAAGTGCTCCTGACATTAAGGAAGAAACTATGAAGCAAGGGCTCTGTTAGGCTGAAATGCTTCTGCAGGGGGCCATCCAAGGTATTTGCTGGGCTTTGTTTTGAAGATTATGGAAACATGACCAGATTTAAATTTAGCATAAATCAGCCTGAAAGTAATAGGCAATACTACTGAAATGGTAAAAGTAGCCCTTAGAAACACAAACACTGGACTTGTCTGCTAGGCAGTGTGCATGCATGGTCACACACACACACACACACACACGCTCAAGCACACGCATACACAGACTAGACCTGCTCTGCTTAAGTAACCGTGAACCTTTGATGACAACAAATTTTCATTTGTATCTATTAGAAAAGGGTTTGTTTGATTACCTCGCACTGTTGCTTTAATAAAAATGAAGACAAAGCTTGCAACGTGTAACAGGAGACCCCCATGTTCATCTGCATAGAATGTGCATGTCATCGAAGCCCATGCCGTCTACAGAAGCACTTGTATGTAACATGTCACATTTGCTCATTCCCGGTAATAAGCACTTACCAATTGCAAGGAATAAAGATGCACCCTGGTCGTCTCAGTCAATGGGAGCTTGTTGTAAGTTTCCAGAGGGTATGAAAGGGACAGGAAGCTGCCGCAGCAGCCTGGCCAGGCAGGTCTCATTGAAAACCCAATCACGGTCCTGGATACAAAAGCTGCTTTGGGGCCATGGCAGGAACTCCAAGTGTGGTGCTGAGAACTGAGCGTTTGTGGTGTGGGGCGTCTGCCCCTGCCCCCTGCTTCCCTCTGACCTCCTTCTCCCAGCACTGCTGGCCAGGGCTGCTGCTGCCGGCTTCTGCCTTGTTCTCTTGCCTCTCTCTGGTCATGTGTCACTGTACAGTATTTTGAATTCATACTGGCTTAGGAGAGCTGCTAGGGCTGAATTGTGTCTCCCCAAATACATGTGTTTGAGAACCAGTCTCCAATATCTTAGAATGTAACTGTATTTGGAGAGAAGGTCTTTAAAGGGATACAGGGGCTCAACTTGTGGGTTGTGAACAATGAAAATACATCCTGCATATCAGATATTTACATTATGATTCATAACAATAGCAAAATTACAGTTTTGAAGTAGCAACGAAAATAATTTTATGGTTGGGGGTCACCACAATATGAGGAACTGTATTAAAGGGTCACGGCATTAGGAAGGTTGAGAACCACTGAGGGTGAGGCCCTCATCCAATGTGACTGGTGTCTTTATAAAAGAAAAGACCATGTGAAGACACAGGGAGAAGGTGGCCATCTGTAAGCCAAGGAGAGAGGCCTCAGGAGAAACCCAACAGCTGGCACCTTGATCTTGGACTTCTCGCCTCCAGAACTGTGAGAAAACCCATTTCCAGCCTATGGTACTTTGTTACGGCAGACCTAGCACACTGACAAATGCAAGAGGCTATGTTTGGAGCAATGAGTGGGTATTCGGGATAAAACTTGCTGGACAGAGCTCAGGCTGCCTCATCTGCCACCCCAGGCAGATCTGCCTTCGGATCCATGGGAACCCCAAGGCATTCAGCTGCTGTGGAATTTATAGGGATCTACACCTGTGTATCCTCAAAGGAGGCCTTTGGGGTGTGGCAGCCGCTCTCAGAAGGTCAGAGTGAGGCAGGTTAGCTGGCTGGTCATTTTGCTCATATAGACATTCCTTTGCTGAAGGGGAATTTTGAATAGTGTTTAAAATGCAACATGCAAGTGAACATATGTACATTTATCCTCTCTACATTTGAAAAGATGTGTGACACATGAGAGGCAGGATTATTTGGGAAAGACAACAGTGCTGGGGGAAATAGAAGGCAGTGGGAAAAGAGGAAGACCAGATATGAGATGATTGACAACAT